GGAGGCCTGGCTGGCTCAGCCAGTCGAGCATCTGACTCTTGATTATGGCTCAGGTCATGATCCCAGGGTCATGGGATTGAGCCCTGTGTTGGGCTCTGTGCTGAGCATGGAGCCTGCTTGAGATTTTGTCTCTCCCTCTGTCCCTCTTCCCCACTCATGCTCTCTCTCTTTCTCTCTCTCTCTCAAAAAAAAAAAACAACAAACTTTTTTAATTACAAAATTAAATAATGTAGCACCTGAAAGAGTTAATCTTTCAAACTCCCCACTAACAGCCCCATCTAGGGCAATGCTCCTGGCAAGCACTCAACTTGGTAGCTCCTGTAATTCAGAGTTCTGGGAACTGAGCCAAGAGCAGGCTCACCAGGCTAAGAGCATAACTTTTTGTACCCAAACAGCAAGTAGTTATTTTGAAAGCTATGCTTTTCCATTTAATCAAATCTCTCTGAATGTAGGGAACCTTTCCTTAAAGACTAAGGACAAGATCCCTCAAAGGGAGAGACACATGGTCCTAATGCCCTTTCTCTCTAGACTTGTTACAATATCAGATTCCTCCAGAGAAATCATATGCCTAAGTCTAGGTGCTTTAGACAAGGGAAATATTCAAGTATTTCAGTGGATTTTTAGATATAGGGTCAGAGATAACACAAGTTCCTGGAAACCTCAATCAAATGGGAAAGACTAAATATTCAAAGATATGAGGAAGGATCTGAGGTGGACAGGTTTTACTAACCCTACAAATGGGGCACAGAAGATCATAGGTATCCTTTTTGGTGATTTCATCACTCTCTGATATTTTTCTTTTTTGTTCAAACCTTTCATTTTGAAATAATTTTCAACCCACAAAAATGTTGCAGAAATAGTACAGTGTTCCCTATACCATTCCTCCCCTTCCCTTAATGTTAACATCTTACATAACCATACTACAAATATCAAAATCAGGAAGTTACCATTGATACAATACTATGGAACCATGAGAGTATTACTGATATTAAGTTATCGCTATCTTTGAAAAGAGACTTAGATGGGATGTATACTGACTGCTAAGAAATGGAAACTTGGGGCTCTCTTGTTTCACAAAAACCATAAAAAAGAAACAGTCCCAGGCCAGGATCATGCGTGAAATCATAACCAATACTGGAGAAACTGGGAGCCCATCCCATCTCCAACCTTTTCTTCTTTAACTCTCACTCAGGTTATTGGAAAAGTAAATGTATCTCGGATGTCAATGGAGGATAACAGAAAACCAAAAGAATCTGTAACTGTGGTTGCCACTGTTTCTCTACAGGAAGATCTTTCTAAATCATCCCTGATTGTTATCATTTTATTAATCTTGCCAGAGCTTGTTTTTGATCCCCATACGTATGTATGTATGTATTTACATTTTATTTTATTTTATTTTATTTTTTTAAATGTTTTATTTATTTCTAGGATAGAGAGAGAGAGAGAGAGAGAGAGCATGAGCAGGGGAGGGTCAGAGAGAGAGGGAGTCACAGACTGAAACAGGCTCCAGGCTCTGAGCTGGCAGGCAGCACAGAGCCCGACGCGGGGCTCCAACCCACGAACCGCGAGATCATGACCTAAGCGAAAGTCGGACGCTTAACTGACTAAGCCACCCAGGCGCCCCTACATTTTAGATATTAACAGCAGTTTGCCTCACTTGGCAGCCAGTGATTTACTTTATAGTCTTGCTTCCACGATATTTCAACTCTCTAACATTTGACGTAACCTGTTAAGGCAATATTTAAACAGGTGTCCTAAGTGTAATTCAGGTAGTGAAATTTCTCATTGATGCTATACTGATCAGAGGTAATACTGAAACAGTTGTGAAATTCAACCTTTCCATATTGAATTTATAACTAAAAGTCAGTGGCCTAGTAAGCATGGAAAAGTTCAGGAGACTTCTCAGATAGAAACCTTTCTGGGTGTGTCATTATCTGAGGGTAGCCAGAAAGATTCTACCCTAAATCAAGCAAAGGCTTTTGTCTATCCATAAGTTCCTACCCTTAAAAAAGGGGCACAGAAATTAAGTTTTATGTTCAATATTGGAGATAGTATGCCACATATGGGAGTATTAATCTACAGCTACTTCATCAAGTCACTAGACAAACACTGGAATTTATACAAAGCCAGTCCCCTCTTAGAGCAGCTGATTCTTTTTCAGCTTGTGGGCAAGCTGCCCTGGCAGTTGGCCTGTACAATACATACCACCAGAGTCCAGCGCCAGCCAGTCCAGGGGTCCCCAAAGGATGGACGGTGTCGGCGAGAGAGAGTGAGAGAGCCCCGAGATTCTTTCTGATCACCAGGCAGGCATCTCTGCCCTGTCAGTTTTAGTGTCTTTATTTATAGGGCAAATGATAACATGACATCAGAAAATGGCATTTTTATAATGGATAATTCTCTGTGATAAGATGCTTTAGAAAGTGTATAGAAACAGGTTTTACAGAAGTACTCTTGCAGAACTACCCCAATTATAGTGAGGTTGAGTAAATCTTACAACTTAAGAAAATAACAGGGTGTTCTCAGTGAAAACATACACGTTTGTTGCGTCAATAACACTAAGATTAATTCATAGTTTAAGACAGGCTAGGAATCATTCTGTCTGGCTCACAAGAGGAAGAATGTATTTGAGCTTGTTAATAACTTTTTGATTTGATGCTGAATGCATAAACACCATGAGGGCCCTAAATGTGTTAGCCTTTGTACTTGGGTTTATGTTTTAACTACTCTTATCCATCCTCATCACAGCTGCCAGGGTAAGGGAAGGTGTTTGTGGAATGTAGGCCTTAGGGAAGGGACTGCTATACATCACCAGTTAGCAAAGGTATATGTAGTAACTTATCTTCTGCCCTTATCTGTTCCTACCTCTAAATTAGGCTCTCTATCTCCAGGCCGGACTTAATTGTCCAGTTATATTCCTTATGGCACTGGAGAGCCAACTGTACCTTTAATGAGGTTCGCTCATTTCCAATACATAGAATAGCCTCTTCGAGTGCATTTACCTTTGTGTCTAGTTTTTTGTCTATGATTTCGTGAATAGCTAGGGCATGAGAGACATTTTTGGTTAGTTGATTCACATGTTGAGCTGTATGAACCCCTTGGACTACCGCAATGGTAGAAACAGAATTGTACATGTAAAGGTCAATCTTTTGTGAGTTAGGGTCATTAGCCTGTTCATAGCTCAAGGGAAGTATTGAGGAAAACAGGACCTGTCGGAGACATGACGTCTGTTCCCATAGTCACAAAAGCAGTTCCTACAGTAAGTTCCTTCACAAGGTGCAATCATCATACCAGGGCCAGAGAGAATAAGATTCCCCATACCAATCAACAAAGTGCCTTGGGGGTTGGTGCTCAAGCAGAAATAATTGAGTGGGGGTGGATATCGGTCATCATCTGACAGCGGGAGGCCTTGCAAACCTGCCTTAACCTCACAAGGAGTTTTCTCAACTAGTGAGTTCAGAATGGCGCCCAACAACTTACTTCCTCCATGGAGTTTCTAAGTGCAGAATTCCCCACACGAAGGCAGTTTTGAATGGCCCACCCAAGGCCTCCTCCTTAGTTGCTCTTCCCTCATGTGCCTGGGAGCCATTTCTGCATCTCTTCACAGCATCCTAGATATCAGGGAAGGGAGAGGGAGAAGTCACCTTTCACTTTGCCTTTCTGAAATCTGAGTGCAGATTTCAATTGTTCTGGTGGCAGTGACAGCCCACGTAGTCTTTGTAAGCTGAGTGTTCCTAGATTGCTCACAGCCTATAACACTTTAAGCAACAGGTGTTTAAAAGACCCTGCAGCAGTTACTCAAAAGGCGGAGTAGCCAAAGCCCACTGAAGTCTGAGATCTGGGACTTACTCTGGCTTCTTTTTATTCAGCTTATAAATATGTCTTGACCTTGTCCTCACTGGGCATCTTCTGTGTGTTTCATCCACCCTGTTGTGTAACCAAGCAGGCTGAGCTGACTGGCTGGGTTCAGCTAAAAAAAGGCACTGACTGGCAAGAACGGGAAGGGCAAGAGGAGAGTGAGGTCAAGGTGTTTGTTCTCCCCACTCCTACTATCTCACAGTGGATTGCGCCGCCCACCACAATGGCTACAGCTCCTGCCAGGCAACCCTCTCCCCTTGAGACTTCAAGCCCAAGGGGCTGCAGCCAATCTTGTTTATTTATTTATATTTATTTCTGAGAGAGAGAAACTCAGCATGAGCAGGGGAGGGTCAGAGAGAGAAGGAGACCCAGAGTCTGAAGCAGGCTCCAGGCTCTGAGCTAGCTGTCAGCATAGAACCTGCCCCGGGGCTCGAACCCACCAACCGTGAGATCATGACCTGAGCCGAAGTCAGACGCTTAACCGACTGAGCCTTTGGGAATAGTCCCTTTATGAAACTCTCCACAAACTCCCCAATTGGAATGTGCCACTTGTTTCCTACCAGAACTCAGACACAGCTCAACCCTCACACTGCCAGCACCAAGATTTGTGAATTGAAGAGCAAAACTCTTACTGAGCACTCACTGTAGGTATATCAGTGCAGTGTTTTTACATGTTAGTCCATGTAATTAACACAATACACCTTTTACAGATAAGAAGACTGGATTCAGAGGCTTAATTGCATATCTCTTAAGGAGCAGGATCAGACTGGAGCCCAGGTAGATCTCACCCCAGAACATCTACCTGCTCTGGAACGCTTAGCTCTAGGGGAAAACTTGCTAAAGGATTGAGAGACAATGGAAAGGTCAGGACTGTTTCTCCACTCATCATGTGAATTACAATCACCTGGGATGCTTTATAAAACTCCAGGTTTTCCGAATTGCCAGTATCTCTCCCAATCTCAGCGGCCTTTGTACCTCTATTTCCACACTCACTGCACTGGGTTGCAAAATAATGAACTCTTATTTAAGCAGATACTTCTTTCTGATCAGACACTAGTGGATTTTCACAAACACTAGCTAACTTCACGCAATGGCTTAGAATGTCCTAGCGTCCGAGTATCATAAAGTTTCCAACTGCGACTGCTTCTCCGGTGGGTGCAGAGACTCCTGGCTGGACACGTGACCCTGGAGAGCCCGGCCTCCCCTGTTCCGCAGTAAACCGGATGGCAGCTACCGTGATTGTGGCGCCCGCGGGCCGCAGCAGCTGGGACGAGCCCGTGCGCATCGCCGTGCGAGGTCTGGCCCCGGGACAGCCCGTCACGCTGCGCGCGTCCCTGCGCGACGAGAAAGGCGCGCTCTTCCGGTCCCACGCGCGGTACGAAGCGGACGCCGGCGGCGTCCTGGATCTGGCGCGCGCGCCCGCGCTGGGCGGCAGCTTCACGGGGCTCGAGCCCATGGGGCTGCTCTGGGCCCTGGAGCCCGAGAAGCCCTTGGTGCGGCTGGTGAAGCGGGACGTGCAGACGCCCTTCGCCGTGGAGCTGGAGGTGCTCGAGGGCCACGAGCCGGAGGCCGGGCACCTCCTGGGCCGGACGGTGCTGGAGCGCGCCTTCCTGCGGCCGGGGGTGCGGCGGGTGCCGGTGCGCGAGGGCCGGGTGCGCGCCACGCTCTTCCTGCCGCCAGGTGAGTGCCTTGCGCCCCAGGCTGTTCTGAAGAATCGGTGGAGTCCTGAGATCCTGGGCGGACTGTTGCCTGACTGAGAACCACGTTTCCTAAACTCATCGCCGCACTCCAGAGCTTGTCATGCATTCTGGAAGTTTTTCCTCTTTAAATTTCATGGCACTTCTGGAGTCACTGCCACTCAGCTAAAAAGTGCATTCAACATGCCCACAAAGTGCATTGGTTTTAAGTGCCAGCCACGCAGCTGTATTTCAAATATCAACATTAGGTAATGAGTTAATGCTGCTGTGCAAGAATGATCTTTGCCTCTTTTCATGTCAAGCTAACAAGGAAGCTAATCTAGAGGCAGTCTCATATAATCCTAAAAAAAAAAAAACCCCAAACTGATAGTCCTCTTCCCCCATTATAAACAGTCTGTCAGTGATCCTCAATCTGAGCTGATTTCCCCCCACTCCTGGAGACATTTTTGTTGTCACAACCGAAAGGTGAGGGGGAATGTTATTGACATCTAGTGGATATAGGCCAGAGATGGTGTGAAGCAGGCAGAATGCACAGGACAGCCGACACAACAAAGAAATATCTTACTCAAAATGTCTGTCGGGCTAAGGTTTAGACCCTAGTCTAAGTAAAAACAAGGCTCTTCCTAGCTAAAAGGGGCCCAGAAACAAGACCCCTGCCCCACCTCTTACAACCAAATTCCAGACTGAAACTCCTCCCATATAGAAATGCTGGAGTTGCCATATCGCAGAGAATCTGTAAACTGAATTCTCTCATTCTACAAAACAAGAGGCTCTGCTTTATTCTTACAGCTTGTCAGCAATTCACAACCGCTGTACAGTCAACTGTGAACTCCTGCAATTGGAATTGGATTTTATACATCTCTGTATGTCCATATTCCTAGAGGCTTGCCCAAGGATATAGTAGGAGCTCAATAAATCATACTGACTGATTCAAAAAGAATCCTCCCACCCCCAAAACCTTTCATCACCCATATTGGCACCTGATATTTCAGTCAGGTCAATCTCGTGTTAACTATTTCAATGTCTACTTTGTGGCCCATTTAACAATTGTTTTCTGTCTCAAGGGCTTTTGTAAGTAATGTAGAAGGATACAGTTTTTTAACAAATCTGTATAAAGTCAATGACTGTGCTGCATAGTGGAATGCAATAGCTAGTCAGACATGGTCCTCATCGTACTTATAGTCTAGTAAAGGACCCAGGTAACTATACTTGCACCTATAAGCTTGGTAAGTGCTATGATAAGGGCCCAACGTGCTGGTGGGGACATATAAAAGGCTATCTGACTTAACTCAGCCTTGGGGGAGACCTGAGAAGTCTTCTGGGAAGGGAGATCTAAACATTGGTTTGAAAACTGAAAGGTCAGCCGGATCATAAAAAGTGGAGAGGGGAGAATAATGTTATGCCATTTTCAGGGGCCGAAGAGAACAGAGCACATTTAGGGATAGTGGCTTTTTTTTTTTTTCAATTTTTAAAAAATGTCTTTTATTTCTGAGAGAGAGAGAGACAGCGTGAGCAGGGGAGGGTCAGATAGAGAGGGAGACACAGAATCTGGAACAGGCTCCAGGCTCTGAGCTAGCTGTCAGTACAGAGCCCGACGCGAGCTTGAACCCACGAACTGTGAAATCACGACCAGAGCTGAAGTCGGATGCTCAACCGACTGAGCCACCCAGGCGCCCCATGGGATAGTGTTCTTTAGAGCTGGAGCAGAGAATGCAAAGAAGTAGGGAGTATATCTAATAAACCGTTATATAGAGAGAGCATTGTACAGTTCTTCAAGTATTCTCAGATTTTTTTTGAAGAAGACGACATCATGGGAAATGTACATCTCCTCATATGCTATTTGTAACTTGAAATATATATTTCCTATTTGAAAATTATGTGAAAAATTCTAGAGAAAATAAAGTATTTTGTTCCCCCCTCCCTTCTCCCTGAAGGTTACTATTAAGAAAAAAAAAAGCCACATTTAAAAAGGGTCCTTTTTTCCACCTGCTTCTCCACCCTCAACCTTCCTGGCTTCAGAAACTTCTCTTTGCTGACTGCCAAAATCTGAAACTCAAGAATGTCTTTTGAGAGTCTAAAGCTCCTTATGACTTGTGCTTTCCAGGTGCGGGACCCTTCCCTGGGATCATCGATCTGTTTGGAAGTGGTGGTGGCCTTTGTGAATACAAGGCCAGCCTCCTGGCTGGACATGGTTTTGCTGTGCTTGCTTTGGCTTATTTCAAATTTGGAGACCTCCCTAAATTTTTGGATAATATGCACCTGGAGTACTTTGAAGAAGCTGTAGATTTCATGCTGCAGCATCCAAAGGTGGGCTCTGGTGTTTGCCTGAATGCAGGGGAGAGAGGGTAAAGCAGACACAGGACTGGATCCCAAAGCCCTACCAGAACACTGGGGGTTAGAAATATGCCATGAGACAAAAACGTTTCTTCAAAAGTTATTAGGATTATTATTTTCACTTCCACCCATCTCTCTCTAATCCCTAAGACGCAACTGTTGATTTTCCTTTAATTCTTGACCATAATTCAAAGAGTTGTATTAAATGTACTAGCCTTTATTTCTGGTTCTCCATCTACACCACGATGGCCTTATAATACTGGATAAGGCAACTGGTTTCTCTGGGATTCAATTTTTCTCATTTATAAGATTAATGTAGGGGTACCTGGGTGGCTTAGTCAGTTGAGTGTCCGGCTCTTGATTTCAGCTCAGGTCATGAGCCCAGGGTTGTGGGATTGAGCCCCATGTCAGGCTCTGCACTGAGTATGGAGCCTGCTTGGAGTTCTCCTTCTTTCTCTCCCTTTGCCTCTCTTCTCTGTTTGTGCTCTCTCTCTAACAAAAAAGTCTAATTTAATTAAAAAAAGATAAATGTAAATGTGTAGAGGAAAAAGTTTGACTATTAAGAGACATTTTTAGGACAGTTGGTGACATTTAAATAGGGTCTGTGTTGGTTGATATTAAGGAATCATTCATTTTGTTAAATGTAATAATGCTGTTATGTTTTTGTAAAGAAAGTTCTTATTTGAGACTGGAAAAATGGAATACATCCTCTGCAACTATCTAGATTTAAAGAAACCCAAATATTCTAATGTTAAGTAAGTGTTAGAAAATGTTCTACAAGGTCTGTAGGGTGGTCTAACTCTGTCAGAATTCAGGGACTGGTCTCTTAGCAGAGATGGCCTTGAACTGTGATTATTGATTTATTAGGGGAGATAAGGCTGCAGGGAAAAAAGAAGAGACCAGTATATCCTATCAGTTCTGCCCTTAGACCTGGGCAAGAGGGGCTTCTGTCCTGGACCTTTTGCTTTAGGTGGCCACACTCCCTGCCCACAGGATGAGGAGTCCAAGGGACCCAGGGAATGTATCCACCTGGAACCCATGTGCCTTACTCACACACACAGACACACACACACACACACACATCCCATACCCCTGTTCTCTGGAATCCCAGAATTCTTTGCCAAATAGCACTGATCCTGCTTCCAGGCCCTATGTCTTTTCTCTGGGTCTGTCAATGTGAATACACCTAGGCCTTATACATGGACACTGGGGATGTCCCTATACATGTGTGAGAGGCCCCTCAAGGTGCATGATGGAGCCAGGGATGAGAAGAGAAGGAACAGGGGCCAGGGACCAAGGACTGAGGCTAGCTCTCCCCCATGCCACATTCTAGCACAGAACTTCAAGGAATTCCAAGATTTCAAATCTGAACCCAATATTATAAACTGTTATGAAGGTATATTTATCAAGGTGGGAGAAAATAATATATTTCAATAGTTTGTTTAATAACTTTTAAATATTTAAGTATGGGGTATATGGCTCTTTGTGTCTACTCTTGACCCAGTTGCCATAAATATTACTAGAAGGCCTGTGTGCTAGGAAATCAACTGATTTGCTTATTAGAAGACACACTTGAGCTCTGTGGATCATTGCATTAAAAAGAGAAAGCAAATGACATTTAAGAAAGCTAGCTAGAGAATACAAAATCACTGCTTATGTCCTCCATTTACAAATTCTAGGCTTGTTCTCTCTTTTTCAGGTGAAAGGTCCTGGTGTTGGCCTTCTTGGCTTCTCTAAAGGAGGTGACCTGTGTCTCTCAATGGCCTCTTTCCTGAAGGGCATCACAGCCACTGTACTTATTAATTCCTGTGTGGCCAACACAATGACTCCTCTGCATTACAAAGATATGATTATTCCCAGTCTTGGTAGTGACATAGGGAAATGTGCAATTACTGAGTCAGGAGTTATGATTTATGTGGGGGTTTGGGATAATCCACTGGAGGAACCCAACTACCAAAGTATTATTCCATTGGAAAGGGCCCAGGGGCCCTTCCTGTTTATTGTTGGCATGGATGATCAAAATTGGAAGAGTGAATTCTATGCTCAGATAGCCTCTGAACGGTTACAGGCCTGTGGTAAAGACAGACCCCAGATAATCTACTACCCAGGAACTGGTCATTGTATTGAACCACCTTATTTTCCTCTTTATAGAGCTTCTATGCATGCCATGTTAGGCCAAGCAATACTCCATGGAGGTGAGCCAAAGGCACAATCGTGGGCACAGGTTGATGCCTGGCAGCAAATTCAAACTTTCTTTCATAAACACCTCAATGGTAAAAACTCTGTACAGTCCAGCAAAATATGACATTGTAATCATAGACCAGATACTATTAACAAAAATCTAATTCATACAACATGTATTGGGTTTTCCAGAGCACATAGGAAACTTTTTTCTTTTTTTCAGTTTATTTTGAGGGGCAATTGGTTGGCTCAGGTTAGTTAAGCATCCAACTTCTGCTCAGGTCATTATCTTGCAGTTCGTGGGTTCAAGCCTGGTGTCAGGGTCTGTGCTGACAGCTCAGTGTCTGGAGCCCACTTCAGATTCTGTGTGTGTGTGTCTCTGTCCCTCCTCCACTCACACTCTGTCTCTCAAACATAAATAAACATTTAAACAATTTTTTAAAAACCAAATTTATTTATTTTGAGAGAGAGCATGAGCAGGGGAGGCGCAGAGAGAGAATCCCAAGCAGGCTCCTCATTGTCAGCATGGAGCCTGATGTGGGGCTTGATCCCTGAAATGAGAGATCATGACCTGAGCCAAAATCAAGAGTTAGATGCTCAACCAACTGAGCCCCCCAAGATTTTATTTTTAGGTAATCTCTACACCCAATGTTGGGCTTGAATTTAAATTCTCAGATTAAGGTTGCATGCTCTAACAACTGAGCGAACCAGGAGCCCCCAGGGTACATAAGAAACTTGTGGTAACAAAATAATTACCTCAGCTTCCTGTCAGGTCCTACTGGATTCCCAAGCTTATTGCAACCTTCCTTTCTTCACTGCCAGATCCATCCCTGTCTCCCCTGAACTTTACCCAATATATATGGGTTTAATCCTGGTCTTATCTACAGGATCAATCTAAACATAATTAGGAGAAATATAAGAAGTGCCTGACCAACTCTCAATTGCTGGCCTATCTTTGGCCTGTTCTGGTTCTGAAGACTGAGCTTCCATATTGCTAAGAGTTCCATGTCCCCTTTGGACCACGTCTGAGCCTTGGGAACATACCCACTTGAATCCCTTAACAAATGGACCCTGCTTCCTTCTTGCCAGTACACATTCCTGAATGTGTATTCAAGACTTTTATCTGAGCCTTCTCTGAAGATTGGGGGCATTGATATTCTTCACATACTAAGCTTTGCTTTTATTTTATGAATGAGACGGCAATTTCTAACTTACTGATAAAGTATCAACATTACAACATTACAAAATTCAACATTTGTAAAGGATACTTTATAAAGTCAACTGAATCCTTTACAAAACAATTTGTTGTATGCAAAATGGTGTATTGATATACTGATACAATAGATTTTTAAGATTCTACCCTGTAGTCCACTGCCTTAATCTTTGGATGTCATGTTATACCTGCCAAATTAGACTTCGTCCCAGCATCATCTGTTACTGCTACCCTCCTTATGGGAAGTACTGGGACCAGTCCAGCTCAGTTCATTGTACTGAGCAGTATGTAGATTCAGAAGAGCCCAGAGCAGAGGTTCTTCCCTGAGAGCAAGGAAATTTTTCTGAGACACACCACATGATTTGCTGGAGACCAATTTGAGTCACCAATATGAGTCTATCCAAACAACTGCCCATTAATTCTTAACTAATTTTGACCAATTGCTAAAAATATGTGTTGACTATAGTTATTCATTATGTAGTATAATAACTTATAATGCTGGAGCCTCTGTTTTAACTCACTCCCAGGTGGTCCTGCCTTGCTAGAGATGCCTTTGGGATGGGGGAATCATAGGAAGACGTTATAAGGAATGTGGCTGGGAGTACAAGAGAAGTCAGGGCCAAAGGGTAGCACCAGAAGTCCAGCATGAGAATGACTAACCATTTCCGTGTACTAAATCTCTAAGTGTAAGGATTTCTTCCTTACTGATAAAGTAGCCTAGAAATGCCCTACACTGACTAAAGGTATTTCGTCACTTTCCCCACGGAGTTGACACTCTATATAGCCACCTATTTCTAGATTTCAAAAGGAGGGCACCTGGGTGGCTGAATCAGTTAAGTGTCTGACTCTTGATTTCAGTTCAGGTCATGATCTCAGAGTTCATGGGGTTGAGCCCCACATCAGGCTGTATGCTGATTGCATGGAGCCTGCTTGGGATTCTCTCTCCTTCTCTCTCTGCCCCTCCCCAGGTTGCTCTTGCTCTCACTCTCTCAAAATAAATAAGCATTAATTTAAAAAAAAAAAAAAGGAATTTAAGGTTGTTGAAAAGGTATCTAAAATATGGCGAATGTGAATTAGAAGGGAGGAAGAGAAAAGGGGTCTATGACATGAAGCCAGAAATGAGACTAATACAATAGTGCTTATTATAAAGTCCTATATACTTGCCTTGATTGGGCCACTCATTCAGTCATGTTTTCTTATGGCTTATGCAAACAGGGAAAACTAATCAGTTACACAAAATTTACAGCATTCATAAAATAAAAGCAAAGCTTAGAAATCAGTTTCTCCCATGGCTCCTGGGTAGCTCAGTTGGTCAGGTGTCTGACTTCAGCTCAGGTCATGATCTTGTGGTTTGTGTGTTCAAACCCTGGAGCAGGCTATGTGCTGACAGCTCAGAGTCCAGAAACTGCCTCAGATTCTGTGTCTCCCTCTCTCTCTCTCCCTGCCCCCTCCCTTCAAAAATAAATATTAAAAAAAGAAATATACTTGTTTGGTGGGAGAACTGGGTTAGTCTAACTCCAAAGCCCATGGCCTTCATTGGCTATTTGGGTGTACTATTGGAAGGTGTACTACCTTCCAGCCTAAGAAGATATGCTCAAATACTAGTGTGATAAGGATTGCTAGAAAGTTAAGGGTAAATTAGGGTCATATAATGTAGGCTCCATAAACCTAACTGGAGAGTTCAGATTTACAATGATAAGAAATAAGAAACTGGAATGCCTGGGTAGCTTAGTCGATTAAGCATCTGACTCTGGATTTTGGCTCATGTCATGACCTTGAAGTTTATAGGATGGACCTCCGTGTCGGGCTCTGTGCTCACAGCACAGAGGCTGCTTGGGATTCTCTTATTCTCTCTCTCTGTCTCTCCCTCTCCCACTCTCACGGGCTCTCTCTCAAAAATAAATAATTTAAAAAATTTAACATTTATTTTATTTTGAGACAGAGACAGAGTATGAGTGGGAAGGGGCAGAGAGAGACACACACAGAGTCCAAACCAGACTCTAGGCTCTGAGTTGTCAGCAGAGCCTGATGCAGAGCTCAAACTCACCAACCATGAGATCATGACCTGAGTCAAAGTCAGATACCCAACCAACTGAGCCACCCAGGAGCCTCAGTTATGATCTTCTTTATGATTAAATGGGGTAAGATACTTGAAAATGAGATAGTTAAAAAAAATTCAAGGTATGTATATAGATATACATGTATATATATGTACACATATACATGTATATCTATCTATATATATAGTTTCCTTGACACAGCAGTTTAACGGAATTATTTCATCTGGATTAATTAACCTCACTTTACACATGTGTTTTATTAAGATAAAATTCTACAGTGGAAAATATTAAGTTATATGTATCAATACATTTTTCATTCATTCAAATAATATAAAATTTAACCCTCTTAATTCATTACCCAATTGCAGGCTTTTCCTAGGGCTAATTACAGTTATCAACTTGAAACATACCTTTCCAGGGGCACTTGGGTGGCTCAGTCCGTTAAGCCTCTGACACTTCTGATTTCCCTCTCTCTCTGCCTCCCCACCTCTTTCTCTCTCTCAAAATAAATAAACTTTAAAAAAATGAAGTATATCCTTCTAGAAACATATTATCAGCATGTACATACATACATTTGTATAAATGGAAAATATGCTTTTATTTTGTGAGTTGAGCACCTTTTTCTTGAAAAAAAAAGTCATGATGTAATTTTTTTCTGCATATAAAAACATCCGTTTTTAATACTTGTGCCAGGCCACAAGACAATAGAGATTATTTCCATAGTGTATAAACTTATAGTGCTGCCTCATCTAAAACGTTTAAACTTTAATTTGGCAGTCTTTCTTAATCCCTGGCAAAAATAATTTCAAGGAAGGAAAGGAGACTATTATTACACGTAGCCTCCTTCAACTAGGTGTAGGGAATTGTGACCCCTGGTGGCCAGGGAAGGATTTTAAAGAAAGAGAACGACGGAGGATTTGCTATCAATAGATCTTTAACTTCCCGCCACGTCCAATGGTAGGCTGGGGGTGAGCTCCTGCTTCTTTTAGGCGGTCTTACTAAGAGGACCCCAATATCGTGACTGACCCTGGGCCCTCCTAAGTTGCCCCTTCTTGCAGCCCTTTCCTGGAGTCCCAGGAACCAGATCGGGTCGTTTGGTCCACTCCGCTAGCTCTGGGCCCCGCCCCCCGACCCCGCCCCGCTGCCCTACTCCGGCCGCCCGGCCCCGCCCCACTCGGACAGTCCCGGGCCTGCCCTGCGGTAACCCTGCGGAGAGAGCAGACTCTCGCTCCCACAAGAGCCCAGCCGCGTGTCTTTGGCCAGAGTCCAAGCCGCGCAGATCCAGGGGCCATGTGGAGGACTGCCCAGGCCGTGTTCTGGACCCCCAGGACCCCACTCCTGCTCCGGAGGTCAATGTCCACATCTGCCCTTCTCTCCCAGAAGGCTGCGACCTTGACCGTCACGCCCAAGACTGGGCTGGCCGACGAGCTCCTGGATATTAAAGTAGAAGGCTTGGGCCCCAGGGAGCGGGTGACCCTTCGGGCGTTGGCCGTCAGCTACCGAGGCCGCCTCTTCCGATCGCTGGCCCACTACGAGGCGGACGGCCGCGGGGGGTTGGACCTGGCCAGGGACCGGGCTCTGGGCGGCGACTTTACGGGCGTGGAGCCCATGGGGCTTCTGTGGAGCCTCAGGCCGGTCGGCTCGGAGAATCCCTGCTTCAGCCAGATGCCGGGAGGCGTGATGAAAACCCCCCTCAAAGTGGAGGTGACCGTCCACCACGCGCCACAGCAGCCGGCGGTCCCGCTGGGCCAGGCGCTGGCCTCTGCCCAGGTGCAGCGCTGGTTCTCCAGCCCGGATCTGCGCCGTGCCCGCCTGCAAGCCGGCCGCCTACGGGGCGTCTTCTTGCTGCCCCCAGGTGCGTGAGGTCTTTTACGCAGAGGGCTTTGCATG